ATTGAGATAGGATGAGAGATTGGATGTGAGGCTGGATGTGAGACAGGACAAGAGATGGGATGAAAATGGGATGAAAAGCGGGATGACAGAAAGGATGAGAAATGGAATGTGAGATGGGATGTGAGACAGAATGTAAGACGGGATGACAGACGGGATGAAAAGAAAGGATGAGAGATGGAATGTGAGACGGGATGTGAGACGGACCTCCACAGCAACGTTCAGCTGGGACAGACGCACCTCTTCCAGACAAGTTCAGCGATTGTTACAGCGTCTCTCAAACATAAAATGTGAGCATCACACCGTGAGCTAATTTAAAATCTAATGTATTTATAAAAAGGAATAATACAAAAAAACATTATTGAAAGAAAGACTTATTTTATGATGCGAAAGTCTGTGATAAATATGAATTTAAAAAGGATTTCAGTCGAGTGGATTTTCCCCCCAAAGCAACATTTGAAGGCTGTAACGCGACTGTGAGCTTTCTGTAACGTTTGAAACGCTTCTGACAAAATATATTAAATTATTTTTAATCACCGTCAGAAACAGTCGTGTTCATTGACATCTCTTAAAAAAAAAAAAAAGTTTATAAAAACAAGAACAAAAACAAAATAAATTACTGCTTCCAGCAGTAAAACATCTGGAGTTTGGATCTCACCAGTACGGCGTCCCGATGAAGGACATCCTCCGAGCCAGGGTGGCCGTGATCTGGGCCGAGATCCCAAAATCAGCTGCGCGAAGAAAAAGAGGAAATCAAACGTGGGCTTGAACGAACAAACTCTCGTTAACGACTTTAAACATCTTTGAAACGTTTGATCCGCGGAAACGAGGCATTTTTCTTATTGTTGCGTCTGCTGCGCCCTCAGCGCTGAGCGACGCGTCTCAACACGGCTCCACGTACCCAGCTTGACCTCGCCCTGATCGTTCAGCAGGATGTTGGCCCCCTGGAAGGAAAACACACGAAACCCATCAACGGGAACCTTCTGCTCCGCATCAGCATCTTTGTTCACTCTGCGATCGTCAGGCGCATCCACACACGAGGAAACAGAAATCTAACAGATAAATACAACAAACTCTTCTTTTGTTCCACTTTCACCGTCTTCCTTTAATGAAGCAGCTGATAAAATAATAAAACTTCACACTCGGTGAGCAGGAACAAAACCCGCCGCTGCGCTCTGCTTTTATTTCAACCTGCGCTGCTCGGAACCACTTTTCCACCAGCGGCTGACGCTTTCATCGCTCTGACGAGAAGAACGCAAAAAGAACCGCGTGGAGTCGAACCGCTGACCTTAATGTCTCGGTGGATTTTCTTCTGTGCATGCAGGTAGTCCAGGCCCTGGTCACACACACAAAAACACACACATGATCAACTATGATCCTTCTCCAGGTTAAAGGAACAGTTCAGACCTTTGGAAAGTAGATCTTATTCACGAACAGTTAACGTCTTACCTGCTGTAGATAACGCTTTAAGCAAGCTCGATTTTAAAAGTAGAGCTTAACGAACTAATGGCTAATCGGTTCATGCTGTCTTCCTAAAACAACTCCGTTCTCAACAGTTTTACTGCGATTCACAAAACACCAGTTCATAAACTTTTACACCAGTAACTTATTTCACCGTTGTTTGTCCCAGCAGGAAGTGCCCCTTGATGCACCGAACGAGCTAAAGCGCAGGCTAGCAGTTAGCTCGTCAGCGCAGCGAGAATGAAATTCAGAGGTCAAAGAGCTATCTGCAACAGGTAAGATATTCATTGTTCATAAACTTTCCACCACTTTAAAAGAGCTGAACTGTTGTTTTAATATTTCTAGTAAACTTAAGTGTTTTTACCTGAAGCATCTCCCTGCACACGTAGGATATCTGAGCTTCAGACAGGGGCCCCGTCACTGCACAACACACGACAGTCTGTAAATATTTATGTAAACAACAACAACAACGTGCACAGCCTCCACAGGGACACACAGCTGCAACTATGAGGATTCATAAATACTGGAGTAATGAACACAAACTGCGTTTTGTTGGTCGGCTGCTGTTTAAACCTCTTTCTTTATGAAAAGCACAATTTAATTTAAAATATAAAATTCATCCTGCGTTTTGTGGGTTTTTCTTTTATAAACGTTAAAATATCAATAAATTAAAACGCACTTTAAAATATGACTCCCTGTGTAAAAGATTTGTTAACATAATAAATTAATAATAAATATGTAATAAACTTTATAAACAAGTTAATTTTTAACAAGTTAAAAAGAATTCAGAAGAATTTATAAAAACAGATAAAAAAAATAACTGTTTAATCTAAAGATCAAAGCAGCGACATGATGTGGTGAAAAACCGTTTGATTCAGCATCCAACCATCATCCAACATCCAACATTCATCCAACCATCGTACAACATCCAACCATGGTCCAGCCAGCATCCAACATCCAGCCAGCATCCAACATCAAATCATCA